CCTGCCTGCGGGGAACGCCCAGCGCTGCGGGGGCTTTGGGTACCTCTCTGGTCTGGGGGCTTCGGGGTCTGCCGCACAGGTAGTTCCCGCACTTTCCTGCTTACATCAACTCGTGGACTCCTCTGAAAAGAAATACTTTTGTGTAAACTCAGGGGTGGTGATAAAGAATCCTTGCAGTAATTATATGTCGCCCCCCCCCCACCACCACCACCACCCCGCCCCTAAAAGTCAATAGTTCTGTATCTCAGCCACATCTTAGTCCTCTTTGGCGTCTCAAGGTCCTGCTATTATTCACCTCAAGATTCCAATGCGATTCACTAAGTTTAAAACTGAACAGTAGTTGGAAAAGTTGGTTCCAAAACATGACATTACAACCAGTTTTGTGATTAAAAGAACAGGCTCTTCATAGACACACACACACACACACACACACACACACACACACACCTGGTTCAAGTAATTCACCTTATTTCCAGGGACTTAAACTTTACCTGCCATTCTCTTTAAAGTCAACATGTTCACAGTACTGATTGATGTCAATGATTTTTACTTTATGCTTAGGCTGCCTAAAAGAACAGACCCCTTGCAAGCCATTCTTAACCAGAATACAAAAGATCTGTGACAACACTTGGAGAGAAGATTTGGTAGTCAGAAGGGACCTCTCCCCACTCCCCTGCATACCATTTTATGAATGAAAAACCAATACCAGCATTAAGAGTTAAATGACTTTATTAAGCATATGCACTGGCTGGCAGCTGGCAGAGGGGAATTGCCCCAACCTCCTGACACCATGGCATGAAGCCCTTTTTGGTCATGATCCTTAGAGAATGCCTACATTATAAAGAAGATAATAACAGGGACCTAATGACATGGAGGGAAACAATTTTTTCTAGATGTGGAGGCTGTCTCATAAGCATCCTACTTTCTGCTGACACTGGTTTATCTTCATGGTTGGAAATATTAAATCCTTTAGGATTAACATCTATTAAGGGAGCTGCTCCACTATCTACACCACAGACTTTTCTGAGTGTCAGATCATGAGAAAAGATGCAGGAAGTGTCTGGTTTAGGGACCATCCTCACTGGTTTTTGCTCAATTTTTTCTGAGTTCTGGGCTTTAGGCTCAGATTAGTTTTTAATGACCTGCTCCAGTATTTTCTTAGCAAGTTTAGAAAGCTACTATGAAACTTGATTTATCTGGGCTGTCCATCAACGTAATCATTGTCAAATCTCGCCTTCTCTTTGTACTGCAGTCTAGAGAAAATCCAACCTCTCTAGGGAATCATAACATGGGCCTGGTGTGAAAGGTCTTTTAACATCATGAAGAGCATTTAAGACCAAAAATCCTTTAAAGGCCAATGAGAAAGCCATAACACTTTTTATTAAACACCAGGAATGAGGAATCCCTGCAATAAAGTCAAGATTGCTACTAACAAAAATGTTAGCAACTGGAACCATTTACTCACTGTTTTCTAGTAAAGAAAAATTGAATGGCAACAAATCAACTTCATCTAATTTAACAAAGGGAAAGAGGGAAAGAAAGGAGGAAAGGAAGGAGGGAGAGAGGGAAGTAGGAAATTTAAAAGGCAGCAGTCACAAAAGAATCTGAAATAATAAAGATGGAAAAATAGTTTGCAAATAGCATAGTGCTTTTTAGAGTGTATCTTTTTGTCTACTTCATGAAGAAGTTCATGAATATTCTATGCATGGTATTCAGCATTTAAAATACCAAGGAAGGCATGTCATATTATATCATTCATGAGTTACTACTATTGGTAAACATATTTCTCTTGTTTTAAAATCTAATATGAAGTATTAAATTTATTGTGTTGACTCTGGTCCTATTTAAGCCAGATTAAATAAGAGGCAAGATTTCCTATAGGACAAAATAATAGAGTTTAAAAGAATAAATACACCTGCTGGGATTCCTGCCACCTTTGTCACCCAGCTGTAGGAGAGACTCAGAGAATCATTAGAATTTCCTCTTCCTGAAATGTGTCAGTCACAGTTCCTGGTCCTTTTTCTTTCTTTCCTATGACCAAAATACAAACTGTTTTGAAATATATATATATATATATATATATCATCATATCCATGTAAATACATTGTGTGTCTTCAACCATTCAGAGACTGAAAGACTTTGCAGGACAAGGAGACTGCCTTTAATAGTTTCTGAGCTATACTCCCAACAATGGGCACCACTGAATGTTAACTGGTACTGAAGGAGCGATGAACTACACTTCACCTCTTTACTTGCTGTTTACTCTTGATGCCTGTGAGAAAACGACAATTTAAATTATGGACAGATTGTTAAGTGGTGACTCTACTCAAAAATAAATTTCTCCATTTGGAATAAAAGATTGTCTTGCTATGAACTTGGCCTTCTCTGAGAGCGACCTACATAATTTCTTCCTTGTATTGTATGTTAGTTTTCTTTACCTGCTTCCAATAAATAATTTGAAGGTAGATAATGAGTATCATCTTTTATCAAATGCACCAAGTACAGTTCTTAGTAGGATATCTAATATTGATCTATTCATTATTAAATTTAAACTCATGAGAACTTCAAAAGGAAAATGAAAAATGGGGAGAAACCATCCTACTGGTTCCATTTGTGAATGCAAGCTTTTAGTGACTAAATTCATTAATATTAAATGTACCAATCATCTATTATATCTTACGAAAAGAGAACAAGGGATTGGCCTTTAGTGTGGCATAAGTATATTTCTAGAAATAGTTAAGTAGGCTAACAGGACCAGGAAAACACATTTTCTTTCTTGAGGTAGGCAGGGATTCTTTCCCCACATTTCAACATGACACAAATTTAAGACAGCTTGTGGATTTTCTAGTATATCAAAGGTGATCAACACACTGGTTATTGACATTGTTATTAATATTGTGCAAGTGATAGTGTGGTATGAAAATCTCTTGTTTCTTAGCCCTTTTTCCCTATAATACCTCTGTGCTTATGTAAACTTCAAGTCCACTGATTGGACTTGATCCTTATAATTAAAAAGGCAATGAAAAAAAACTTCCCCTTTGCTTCTAAATTCTCAATTTGTTCTAAAAATTTCTAGAGAACTAGCCATGCCTACATGATTATACATGTTCATAATAAAACCTAAGGAAATATGTAGGATTTAATCCATGTCAGATTTAAACTGGAGATATCAATAAGCCATAGGAAAGTTCCCAAGATGGGTGGAATTTGGGGTGAGGACACCATCTGTAATTAGAAGCACCATGAAAGAATGGTGTAGAAAACATTATTAATAGGATTCTCAAACCCAAGGACCCAGAGCACAGACCACCACTAACTGCTTTTTAAATACCCCTCAACTTGAGGATTGTATCTCTTTAAGACTGGCTGTTTGTGCCTTGTGGCCCTCAGTCATGACCACTGTAGGTCAGCAGGTGGAGGAATTAACAGACAGCCTACAGGTTAGGGGAGCAATAATAAATATATTCCAGTCTTCTGTATTCAACAGTGGTTTACAATCATCTCCTCCTTTCCCCAACTCACAGAGTTTTCTTTTTTCTCACACCTCTAACATCAACCTACTTTTAAAATAATTCTGTACATTTCTTGTGTTTTGTGGTTACTATAATCATATCATCTCTATATCTTTCAAAATTGCTATTTTTAGGATAAAGATAACTTGAACTTTATTCCCTAGAATGAGAAATCTGTCTCAAATATTCGTATTCACTGCACCCCTTCTCCCTACCCAACTAAAAAACAAAACAGAAAAAGGGAAAAAGTCAATAAACTGGATGGTTAGGGCATCTGATGCCTGGGCACTGGGCTTCCAATAGGTTTTTGTTGACTAGCTAGATGAGATTGCTAATTTATAAGCCTGACAATATTCTTAGACACCAGCGTTACTTTGTTATTTTTATACACTGATTTAAATGATGTCGAATTCACTGTCTAGTTCACTTTCTGTTCTCCTTTCCACAAAGTAGTCAATTATCTCCCTGGAGGCCGTATTCCTCCATCTGCGAAAGGTTTGACTCAGGATCAAACAAAAGCTTTCTCAAGCATTGCAATATGAAATACTAATGAGGAAGTCAGGCGCTAAGCCTTTAGGGTTTCTTATCTCCCTCCATTAACCCACCACTGAGAAGGGGGCACCAGAGAAGGACGACTGACCCCCGCACGCACGAGGGACCCTGTCCTCTTTGGCTCCGGGCCACTTTGATCTCGCGTGTCTGCCTAATCAAGTTCATCTACTGCCGCGACTGACCAGATTCAAAGAACCACATTAAATAGTTTGATTATCGGATGGTCATTTCCCTCTTTTCTCCACCCTTGATCTAATTTCCAAACGCTAGTCTCTCGCCTTCCACTCTAAACTTCCCATCAAAAGAGAATTAGGTCTTCTTCCTTCTTATCCTCGTTTGATGTGCAAATTTACTTCTCTTTGCACATTTTTCTCTCAGTGGAGGGGAGAGGGCGGGGTGAAGAGAAGCAACTGGACGGAGTGAAAGACCAGGACCTCACCCAAATCTGCAAATCAAAACACTGAAGGATTAATCAGCAACTTGCAAGGGCCACCTGGTCCTCTCGCAAAGATGTCCCCAACCCCTAGAGCCTTTGAATTACGGGCCGAGGTTGTATTTAATACGAAATATTATTTGTTTGCACAAGAAAGGAGTATTGGCTTAAGGGAAAAGGGTAGAAAGTGATTTTGCAGAGTCTACCACTATTTGGCTCTGGAAAGTATTTCATATACAAGTAATCCAGTCCCTGCTGCAAAGAAACGCACCGTGTGCCCAGAATCCCTCCCGCCCTCTGCGTTTATTAACGTCCTCTGCTCTAATGCTCACTGATCTGTCTCCACGAAGGTGAGCTGGGCCAATAGAACAACCGTGCAAGGGAGAGGAGGGGTGAAGAGTGTCAAAATTCCCCCCCCCCTTCATGTACACAAACACACCCCCTCCCAGCCCCTCCCAACGCTTTGAAATCCCATCCCGGCTTTGTTGTCTTCCCCGAGGGGCCGGAATGCTCAGAGCTCGCTGTATAAAGGCAGCCACCGTGGCGGTGGCGGCGCAGAGCTCCCTGCGCCCAGCAGTCAGGACTCTGAGATCATTGGAGGCTCTGGGAACCTTAACTCTGTAGCCAGCCGCACCAGCAAGGTTTCCTTGGGATCAGGCTTGCAAAGTGACATCTCTCCTTTCTCTTTCTCCCGCTTGAGTACTTCTGAGATGACGGCTTTGGGCACTGTAGGAGCTGCTCGGTTCTTGGTCTCCCTGATAGCAGCAGTTCTTTGCAGCCACTCTCTGCAGGGTGTGAGCGCCACCTTGAACTCGGTTCTGGTCAATTCCAACGCTATTAAGAACCTGCCCCCACCACTGGGCGGCGCTGCCGGGCACACAGGCTCTGCAGTCAGCGCGGCACCAGGAATTCTGTACGAGGGCGGGAACAAGTACCAGACCCTTGATAACTACCAGGTGAGAGAGGTCGCAGGGATCCAAGGACGCTGTGACCCTGAAGCGTTCCCATTTGGAAAGGAGGGTGCGGAGCCTTCTGGGTGACTGAGATTCAGGGCATCTTTGGAAATGCTGTATTTGGGAGCGGAGGGTGGCAACAGCTTTTGGAGAGTGTACAGATAGGGACTGAGATGAGTGTCCGGGTTCAGAAGTGTGGGTACTCGAATGCCGGGGCTCCTCAACTTCTCTCCGCTCCCTTCTCATAGCCTTACCCGTGCGCCGAGGACGAGGAGTGCAGCACCGACGAGTACTGTGCAAGTCCCACCCGCGGAGGGGGCGCCAGCGTGCAAATCTGTCTCGCCTGCCGGAAGCGCAGAAAACGCTGCATGCGTCACGCAATGTGCTGCCCAGGGAACTACTGCAAAAATGGTGAGTTCTACAACTCCAACAGTCCTGCATTCCAGCATCTACAGATAAAAGAAAATACTCTCTGCTCTGGAACTTTGCAGCACCGCCTCCCCCAAATGGGTGTTCAGTATGCAAGGTTCCCCTGAAATATCTTCATTATGAGTGTTTAATCTGGGAGAAGAAGAAAGTATGGGGGTCTAAATGATCCTTGTTCTCCTATGTCCCTGAATGAATTGACACTACTGTTTACTTCAGAGTGGCCCCCTCCATAAAACCTTATCCAGGGTAGCCTTGAGGTTAATTTGGGGCAGGGGAGGGGGCAGGGAGGAAGATGGGACCTGGGAAGGTCTGTGGGATCCTTTTGAAAGAGAAACCAAAGAAAACAGCTGGCATTTCCCTGCTCTTTCCATTTTCATGGCTTGTCCAAACTGTCCTTTCTTCCTCATGGCCCCTGGAAGTTTAAACTGTTGTCAGGCAAAGGACAGAGTGATTTATCTGCACTGGCCATTTTTAAGGGATATCTTGGTACTCCAGCATCCAGGCCTTTTCAACCTTCCTCCTCTCTTCCCTAAAACTACTTCCCCTCCCCACAACCACGGATCCAAGAAAATTTAATGTCTCAAAAAGAGGTAGACTGAAGACAGCCAAAGAGGTCTCCAGAAATAAACTTACAGGGTGGCTAACCTCTTTGGGACCCAGCAGTATTCTAGGATGAACTAATTCAATCTCTGTAATATAGAAATTATAAAGTAACTGGTGGGTGAGATTGTAATCTTCCAGACAGCTGGATGTGCATTTGTTTAACAGTCTGGCAGTACCCATATAGCATGAAGAGCAGAAAAGTTATTTTTAAGAAAAAATTTTTATGTAATGTATCAGAAGGGTGCATTAAAAATTCCACAGAAATGTCACTGCACTACCACAGTTAGTGGGAAAGCACTTTTTAAGTGACTATACTGGAGATGTTGCAAATAACTAAACAGTATATCATTGATACTTTGTCCATCTGAAGAGTTTGCACTGACCCCGGGTGGAAAATTTGGTTTGTATTTAAAATAAGTTGACTACAATGAGATACCTCTAGATGCTGCAGGTATAATAGGCTGGCCCATCACAACTGTTAGCAACAACCCATTTCAACCTAGGAATTAATTATTATTTCTCGCTTTCTCAGGAATATGTATGCCTTCTGATCATAGTCATTTTCATAGAGGGGATATTGAGGAAACCATCATTGAAAGCTTTGGTAATGATCACAGCACCTTGGATGGGTACTCCAGAAGAACCACCCTGTCTTCAAAAATATATCACACCAAAGGTACACTGAAGGACTTTAATGTTCATTCTTTGTTAGCACATCAGAAGTGTCTTTTGAATTGTCTTAGTGAAATGATGCAAGCTTAGCTTAAGCAAGCTTAACTATTTTTTCTACTGTCTCCTCCTTCCTAGGACAAGAAGGTTCTGTCTGTCTCCGATCATCAGACTGTGCCACAGGTTTGTGTTGTGCTAGACACTTCTGGTCCAAGATCTGTAAACCTGTCCTCAAAGAAGGTCAAGTATGCACCAAGCACAGGAGAAAAGGCTCCCATGGGCTGGAGATATTCCAGCGCTGTTACTGTGGAGAAGGTCTGACTTGCCGGATACAGAAAGATCACCATCAAGCCAGTAATTCTTCTAGGCTTCACACCTGTCAGAGACACTAAACCAGCTGTCCCAACACAGTGGACTCCTTTTATATAATATATGCTATGAAAATCTTTTATGACTTTTGTCAGCTCAATCCTAAGGATGAACAAATTGTGTGGTTATAGTTAAGCATTCCGATAATACCTTCTGAAAATCTGGAGTGTAAGAGCTTTGTTTCTTTATGGAACTCCCCTGTGTTTGCAGTAAATTACTGTATTGTAAATTCTCAGTGTGGCACTTCCTGTAAATGCAAGAAAACATTTAATTATTTTTCTAAAGGTGCTGCATTGCATTGTCTGTTGTTTCTCTTGTTATGTAAATTTTTGTACACATTCATTGTTATCTTGACTCTGATAAATAATCTATATTGAAATGAAATAAATAACTTCAGTTTATAGCTCCTAAATGCACACCCTTTCCCCCTTTTAATTCTAGAGTCTAAACTTCAAGGAACTTTTTAAATATGAAAATGCTAGTTTATTCTCTGAAATGTACTGTCTCAATGCATAGATTAAATTTCTTTCTAGGCTGTGATAGTCCTTGAAATAAAATTTAACATTTAATATGAAATATTACAAGCATAGATAAATTTGGGGACTATGATCTTAGAGGAGAGAGAAAGAGGGAAAGAGAAAGTGTGTGTGTGTGTGTGTGTGTATGCACTTAAAGAAGAGAAATGTGATGTGTTTAAAGAAGATCAAAGAAAGTATATTGTCTACATGTTAAGACAATATTAGTATCTTTAAAGAAATGTGTTCTCTACTGATAAGCTCAAATGAATACGGTTGATTGAGGTTGAATGTTACATTAGTACTTTCAAAAACAATTCCCAACAAATTAGTAGTATTTTCCTTAAATGGACAATACTTTTGGGTCAAAGAAAAAATTGTTCACAAAATATACCAAAGTATATGGTGGTTGGCAGGAAGAGGATGTGTATATGGAAAGATAGCCTGCAGATATATGCCAATTTTGTGCTGAATAAATTAATGTGAAGTATCTTAAATACTCCTACATGCAAGGAAGAATTGTTCTAATTACTTGAATTAAAAAATAATTATTAAATAACAATCACAAATCTTCTGATATTCCATTCCCTTGCTAGGTGAATTGAATATTTCACTTTGGGCTTAAAAAACAATCTATCAATTGGAATGAGGAGAAGGATGTATTGTTTAAAGATAACCCATGCCATAAAATCTGCATTTTTTCTTTGCCAAAATTGATATTTATACAGGGGAAAGGGAAGACGAACCTCCCAATTAATAGTTATTATGGAGTATTTCTGAAAGTCTGCATCAAAACCACAAAATGCTGGGTTCAAGGCATTCAAAGGATGGTAGCAACTGATCAATTATCCAAAAAAAGTTTCCTTAAATAGTGCAGCTGTCCTAGAATGTTTGTTGTTTTTGTGTTCCCGGAAGTGGTTGGTTTTAAAGGAGCTCAGTCCATAGTACACAAGCTGGGATTGGCTCTTCAGTGAGAGGGAACTGGCAGGGTGTCTGCTGCTATATTCCTTCTGTCTGAAGTCTCTGCTTCCTGGCCCAGGAGAAACTTTCTTTTTCTATATGTGCTTGTTTTCTGAAGTGCCAGGAAGGCCAGTTCTAAGGACTGCCTTCTTCAATAAAACACAATAGAGGAAAGGAAACAGGAAACCCTTTCATCAAAAAGAAGAAAGAAGGGCCTTCTGTTTTAGAGGGGAAAGGAGCAAATGTTTAAAGGGCCCTGGTTATTGGATCCCTTCCTTTCGGAGGAACCCACTGTGGACACAGACTGTCCACCTCTATACATCTCAGTCCATTATTCTATCCCTTCCTATTTCCCATCTCAGAATGGGGTGGGAGAGTGAGAAATCTACCAAGGAGGATACTTTTTCCTACCCCCTGGGAACTTAGAAATGAGATTCCCAAGAAAAAGAAATCTGCACATTTATGAAGTTGGAAAAAGTTATCAAAACTGTAGATGCTTTATTGGCTAGAAGGCAGAAGAGAAAGTCAGACAATACATACCTAAAAGAGGATCATTAAAGAAATCAAGAACTTTTACATAATGGCTGCTTAAAATATTTTGCATTGTTTAACTTTTAAATGATTTATTTTAATGGAAAATGTGTGCCTGTGGGAATATTTCACAAGGCATTTTATTTTGTGCTACTCTACACACTGCCCTACACCTCAATCTCTTTACTTGAGTGTTTTGCACAACATTCTGTGTCATATGGAAAGAGGTGACTCATCCTTTAACAGTTGCATCAAGTTTGTACTATGTTGCAATGGCTCTCCTCTATTTTATTCCACCAGTCATTACTGGTAGACAATCAAATTGTTTCCACAGTTTGTGCTCTAACAAATACTGTGTCATAGATACAAGATTTTTGTATTCCTGTCCTGGTGTACTTGTAGGATAATGATTAAGGGTTTTTGTTTTTCAATTCTAATTTTTTTACTTAGAGAAATTTTGTTGAGTAGTTTAAACAATGAGAATATTTTGATTCCACCTTTTTAATATTAGTATTTTGACTGTCTGTTCAGAGTAGAGAATGCTTTTGTCACTGTAAATTCAATTCTAAGGCTAAAAGACATGCCCGTTACATTTGACGGGTCTGCTTATCACTAACCTAGTAATTATACACTCTTGCTAAATTTTATCAAAAGAGAAATAGGAAAATAAAGGCTGATCTTAACATTTTCACAGTAAACAGTAATCTCTGGCACATAGTCAAAGGCAAAGTTGCTTTAATTACTTTCATTTTAAAATAGTTAATTAAATAAAACCACAAATCCCTCTCTGCCTTTTCCTATTTGTTAGTGGGTTGAATGTTTCAACCTTTGTTTAATCTATTGATAGAAACGAGGATAACTTATGTTGCTTAAAAGAAAAACTATAAATATGCAGCCCATATGTGATAATTAATATTTTAGCAGATCATGACACTTTATTTATTTCCCCTCTATGGTAAATGAATTTTTACTAATTCACTCATGGCCTTAGTAACATAATTATGCAGTTATAAATTCTATCAGTGTTTCTAATTGCATAGTCCAATTAGCACTCACTGCCACTTGTGGAAATTATACATGAAATCATTAAAATTTCTTTCATTTTTAAATTTGGCTATATTATTTAACTATTGTGCTACTAATTTTCTTTTATAGTCTCAGATAAATATTGACAATGCTACCATTAGGCTTATAAATGTCTTTCACTGAATTCTTTAATTACAATTTTCGTACTTTCTAGAAATACTACTCCGAGTTTAATATCAAAGCATAAAAATACATTTTTATTTCTATACTACTAATAATACAGAAACTAATCCCCATAATTTGAACATCTGATGTTTGTATAACCATGTGTCCATATGTGGGTCTTTTTTATGTTTGGTATCAAAACCAATTTAAGAAATAGTCAATTGCATCAATAATCTAGGACCATAATCTACATAATGTTGGCAGTTTTTATTTCAATATACATTTATTGAGGCTTATCTGATCCGTGGACATTATACTGGCATTTAAAAAGTTATATACAATATTGATTTCTAAATTTGAGGAGCTATAAGGGAGACAACAATCAAACATTTGTGCTAGGAGTTGGTTTAGTATAGTATTTAGAAGCACGGCTCTGAAATGAGATAGATTTGTGGCAGACTCCTAACTCCTGCAGTTTCTAGCTGCATCATGGGCATAAATATAACCTCATTGATACTATGGAGAGAATATATAGACTTTAGAATGTAGGTTAGATAAAAATGTATGCATTATAATACCATTGCACCTGTCTCAGGCATTGATTTAGTAAATTGAACAATAAAACACATATTTTGTTAGATAATTTGCATTAGTATCTGACAAGGCATTAACAATTAAATTAGCCTATAGCTACTCAGAAAAGCTTCAGAAAATATTTGAACTATCATCTTCTCAAGACCTTTTTATATCAAGGAAAAGAAAACATTTAGACATATATCCTTATCTTCATTTCAATCCATAGAATTCAGATTAAGCAAAAACTGAAATATTCAACTCACCTAGGAAGAGAAGAAAAAAGTGGAATGAGTGATAATTTGTGATTTTCACTTAGCCATTATTGTAAAGTCAAAGTAATTAAAACAAATTTTCTTTGTATGTAGTAATATATAAGATACAAAAAGAAGACATGAGTCAGATTGACAGTTCTTGTGAAAATCAGTATGTGAGTTATTGTGCACACTGGCTTCATTAACTTGCTTATAATTGCTGCTCCATTGTAATTTAACATCGCGCCATATGTTTTTTTATGGTGGCATAAATTCTTTCTCTGGTATAAATACCCTTCCAGCTCAGTTCTGCTCAGCAAATTGCATAGCCTCTCAGACTTTACCTCAAATACCTGGAGAAGGATTCCTACTGGCTTAGCTTTTATCGAGGGTTTACCTTGGGTCTAGTTTTCTGGCTTGGCTACCCAAGCAACTGGACTATATCCAGTTCACCTTCAATAAGAACTATGGCATTTCTACAAAGATTGCATAAAGACAAGTACCACTGGTCATATGTTCCACAAATTAGTCTTTGAAGAATGAGACATAGTTCACAAGATAGAAAATAAAGGAATGGCCATTGGAGACAGAGGAAACTAAGCAAAATTATGTCGTTGTAAAAATAAAATAATACATACTAAATTAAGAAAATAGGAATATTATTCCACTGTGATTAGAGTATAGGGTTTCTTTTGAAGGGAAGACTTTTCTTTTTCTTTCAATATATATATATATTGTTGTTGTTCATATGTTCATAAGGAATAGATAAAAACTCTTCTCAACAACAGTTATGGTATTAGGTGGCAAGACAGTTGAAGGAAAGATTGAGACATATTTGTTTAAAGAAAGATTATGAGAGATTGTGAGAGCACTTTCATACACATACAATTTGTTTGATCAAAAGGGTTATAAAGTAAGAACAATATTACTTGAATTTCTGCAAGAGTTGTCAAATTAAGTAGAGTTGAAATTAAGTTTGAGACAATTCTGGTTTTGACTAATGTAATCAATACAAGGTTTTACAAATCATAGTGAATTTATTTTTCCAAAAAGTTATGAATTAAAATAGTATGATGTAGTTTCTAAATATTATTAAATATAAAATTATTATTTTTTTCACACAGGGATAAAACCCAGGACCTGTTCATGCTCATTTAGCCATTATTGTAAAGTCAAAATATGCTTGACGGCTAAACTATTCCTCTGGTCACTAGATGTAAAATTATCTTTGGAGGGCAATGTAACCAACTCCTTGCCTTTATAAACTATTAAACAAATGCTATAGAAAAGTAAAGTTGGCAGAAGGCACAAGACATGGCTGAGCCTAACTCTATTTTACATTTTACAATATTTCACAACTTTCTCCTCATTAGCAAAAATTACTTTTAGAAAGAGCTCTATATTGAAACCTTTCACATATCCGTGTCACTCTGAAGTTCAAATTAAAAGCAGATGAGAGAAGCCGTTAGGATTGTGAGGGGTTTTGTTGTTTTTGGAAGAATCTTCAAGGAGTTACTATGTCAGCCAACACAGATGTTTCTTTTTCTTCATA